GACTCATTTCTGTAGAATGTTTTATTTACTGGGCATTATGGTAAGTGCAGGAGGAAAAAAAGAGAACCAGAAAAACTACACAGCTCTCTCCACCACTCTCCCCCCAACACACACAAAGCTCATATTCCCTCAGGAGACATAGACTACTAAACAGACTACTGTAGTACAGTCGGTAAGATCCATGATAGAAATGGGGGTGTGATGTAAAAAGGAGAGACATCTGCATAGGGAGGGAGGTAGTATAAGCTGAAGAAGGCTTCCTGGAGGAGGCGATAGCTGAGCTAAGTTTATAGGATGATTACCTGTGGTTAGGAAAGTGGGGAGTTCCTGTGATTTGCATGGAATGCCTTGACCAGAGGCATACTGGCAAGAAACAACTTGATGAGTGCAGTAGAGTACAGGTTGTCCGGTTTTCTCAGCACGACATAGGAGCTAGCTTCTAGCTTTACAAATTGTATCCTTCACTCACTGAAGCACAGTGAACAGACCTAAGGACAGTCCTTTTTCTAACCACCCAGGATCTAAAATCCAAATTCTACAGGTGAAATTCACCAGTTGTCACCAACTGCAGACAAATAATGCATGTGTGTTTTATTATGACATCTGTAATAGTTTTTCTTATTTTTGGCCAAGAGCTTGTGAGTTTGGCTGGATTCAGGGTGTCTGTTTGCTGTGTTTTCTGAGTTCCTCTCAGGTTTTTCTTGCCCTCACTTTTCTGAAGCCATGCTAACAATAGTGTTTTTGTAATTTCTGTTTAGGCTTCTCAGTGCTCATCCAATCTTTAAAAGAGCCAATGTTCATTTATTTAAGTTCATTTATTTAAGTCTAAGATATTTTCAAATACAAATGAGGATGTGTCAGTATCTAATTGGATTACAGACTTATCCTTAGAAAGTATAATGTAGCTTTTGGAGAATAGGCAATATAGGTACATTTAGCTGAATAATTAATTAAACCACTACATAATTAAAACTATGGAATGAATAGATTCTCTACAAGAATCTGCAGTGTAGTAAAATAATCTGTATGACCTGAAGCCAATCAAGTTGGATTCATTTAAATATGCTGCTTCTATCATGTACTGGAAGTAAGAAAGTGTGTGAAGATAATCACAGATTAGCTTCCTCTGGAGAAACATATGAACGATAACCTGGTGAAATAAATGTTTGAGCTTTTTGATTATCCCCTGGACCCTGAATCTACATTTCCAAATTTTTCTTGTCCAGTGAACCCACTGATATTGCTAGCATAGCTTTGTTTACAGAAACAGCAGAGAGAAGGCCATCTCTATGGTATCTCTTTGGTTTATCTTCTCTGCTCCAAGGTTACTTGAGCAGCAGTCTTTTTTATCCATGTTGGCTTTGTTGAACATTTCCTCGGCATCCTTACTTTGGATAATTTAGAACTGCAGCAGTTTGGCTTTCACAATTACTGAATCCCATGAAAAAGCAGGTGGCATGCTACCTTGTTAAATATCCCTATTACAGACTGGGAGAAACAATATAGAAATTTGAGTTGTGCTGCAATTTCAAAGGAAAGAAAAATCTGCTATTTACTTTCCTTCTATGTGTTCATCTCAAGGGGTAGATCTCAAGGGGTGGACCTCAAGAAGAATGTGTAAATCAAGATCTGGACTAGTTCAGAACTTTACTCACATTGTCATCACAATGCAATGATATGGTCTAAAATATCTCAACTACTTTTCTTTTGATATAATCGGTCACATGATATTTTTAGCAATTGTATGGCAAAAGCAGTGAAAAAATGAAGATGAGAATACACACAGGGCTCTCTTTAAAAAGAGCTTATAATAGGTATTACATAGTTACTGTTATTGAGATGAGCCTATTGTATGGACAGCAAGTCATCTCCTGCATGAATAAATACTTGCCACCAGTGGAGAGCCAGAGATGAAAGTCATTCACAATCATTTGCTTATTTACACAGCTGGAGTGTGTGTGAGCAGAGTGTGTATATATAGCTATAGAGAATAATCATTTTTTTTAAGTTGACAAAACATTCATCTTTTGTGGCCCATTGTGCAATATTGGATACATGAGTACCATGCCTTTCTTTTATGTGACGATAGCAAAGCCTCCCCGCCATCAGACCATCGAGAATTTTGAGTTGAGAACATTTTATTTGCTCTTTGTGTAACCAGTGCAACAAATTTGCATGGTATTTAAAGTTCAGACCCAATTTATTCATTTTAAAAATAATACTGTGTTATACTGTATTTTATGATACATAGGATACATATGATACATACATATACTGCATTTTATGATACTTGCTTCAGACATGATAGGTGTTTAATAAGCAACGCTGCTGGGTCAAACTGGGTTGCAAAGTAGATTCCATTATACCTACGTTGAGATAATGATAAAGATATGCAATTTACTACTCATGTTTGGGGACCTATGAGTCTTAAAAGATCAGAACCTATACCACAAAATTTAAATAGGCAACATTACTGGCAATTTTTTGCATGACTAAAGTGCCTGGGTTTTAAATTGTTCCAAGTATTTTCTTTATAAATAGCAACATTCCCGGAGAGTCCTTGGATGCTATGTACCTAGTAGTTACAGGAGAGTTCTGGAGTTCATTAATCAAACCACCCTTGATTTCTGCTTAATCTATTTCAACAAAGGTTTATATTCAGAGTGCATTGAAGAGTATTAGAATGGAAAGAATAAGGCCAGGTGTGGTGGCTTGCACCTGTAATCTCAGCACTTTGAGAGGCCTAAATGGGGGGATAGCTTGAGTCCAGGAGTTTAAGACCAGCCTGGGTAATAATGGTGAAACTCTGTCTTCACAAAAAAAAAAAAAAAAAATTGGCATGCTCCTATAGTCCCAGGTACTTGGGAGGATGAGACAGGAAGATTACTGAGCTCACACTATTAAGCTCCGGCCTTGGTGACGGAGTGAGATCCTGTCTCAAAAAAATAAAAATAAATAAATAAATAAATAATATATATATATATATATGAGAAAACAGTAAACTAAAAGTAGAAGGATTTGTTTTGAAATCAACAGAAAAATGAAGACTTTTATATTTTGTGACATAATTAAAAATACAACTTTTCTAAAAAATTATTATTGATGTATATATAAAAGGCAAGCAAAATCCAAGGATTTTTAACCATGCTTTAGGCGATACAAAAGTTCTGTGTAATCATGAAAAAAAAAGAGGTTAAAAAATAGCACTTATACTGAGTCTAGATAAATCAAATAACTAAATATTTATATATGTTGCTAAATAAGAAATAATTTGGCCATTTTAAGGACTGAAGTTTGTCTTACCATAAAATGATGCATGCATATTCCTAACCATGTTAGGTATATTGGGAATTCATGAGATCCCATATTTGGTATATGGACACCATAACGAATTTAGTACATATTTTTTCTCTTCCTATTCCAGAGATACTGTAATAGAAGGAGTAATCAAATTCTTTATCTTTGAAACACTGTCACTTCACAAATGAATAAAACTTTTTCTTTTCTTAATCGGCTGTACTTCCTTATATTTCAGGTAAAAGAGAGTAAAGATAATAAACTCTAAGTATGTATTCTGTAAAGAACCAAATTGACAACATTTAAATATTGTGCTTATATTCAAAAGATAATCTTTAGGGGCATACCACTCTAGATTTTAAAATGCAGTATTTTCTCTCAACATGCTAGAAATAGTGTACTTCTGGCTTCTGTTGGTGCTGTTGAAAAGTGAGCACTCTAATTCTTGGCAGGAGGTATGTAAGTGTACTAGAAGTTTTGAATCTGGTAGTTGAAGAACAGGATGTTCGAAATCAAAGTTTCCATTATGGTACTAGTTTTGATAATGATAATGTCCCATGTGTACCTTTGAGAGTGGATGATTGCAGAGGAATGGATGAATAGATCCTCATTTCAGTGTTCAAAAATATGTATTTTTACCCAAGTAGTGAATGAAATACGGTGTTCTTACAAACTGTAAAATTTTGAAAAGAATTTTTCCCTGTACATTGAGGAGATCTAGCCCACATACCATGTTCAATATTATTTAAAGCCTTCTGCTTCAATATCAAATAATGTTTTTAATTAGCTTTATTTAAACTGAAGTCAACTAATCATAGATTCTTGACTGGTGACTGACTTGATATTTTATTGCCCGCTAAGCTTTGGTGTGTAAGTAAGTGTGACCTAGGCATTCATTGCTGAAGAGCAATGGAAATGAAATTCACCCCTGATGGCTTGAAAGTGTGGTGTGAGTACTGGCTTCACTAATAAGTATCGAATGTTATCATAATATCTAATCCTATATGCTTTTTCTGAATCTTTTTAAAAAATTCTTGGTTACATGACTTTGTTACTTTCCCCTGCATACTAAATACGGTTTCTTCACAGTCCCTCTGCCTTGCTTCTGATAATATGTGGTTTCAGGAAAGTGTGTTATTGACTCATTGGTACTAAAGTATGCTTGGTATTTGAATTTTAACAGATTTTACGACAAAAGAATGTAATAAATAACATAAATAACATTTAGTAAGACCTTTTGTAACTCCTTAAATAACATTTGTGACCTACTATGTAAATAGGTAAAGTTGACTAAAAGTGATCAGAAGAAATTCAGAAATATATTTGTTCAAAGTGTATATTAGGTGTACATATGTATGCTTTAATGTATATTTGTAGGCACATACACTTTATAAAACTTTAGAAGAAGAGAAGAGTCAATAGGTAATAAATTAGAAAGCCACAGTAGCCACATTTATGATTTGGGGTCTGATGTATAATTTTTCTTTTAATTTAACAAAGATTATATGTCTCAGAAGCTACTGAAAAAAATGTCAAAATAAAATTCTTAGAAATTCAGATACACTAACGGATTTTGATAAAAAAGAAATTTTGGATCAAATGAATAATAAAAGTGCTACCTTGACTAATGGTTTTGTTAATTGGGCTTCGCCTGACATGCATTTGCTTAGAATTTAACTATTATTTTTTCTTTTTTTTTCCAGTGTTAAAGAACCCAGTATGTAAATTATATAGATTTCCCACATCTGACAATAAGTGGATGCGAATTCGAGAGCAAATGTCAGAGAGCATTCTTTCCTTTCATATTCCTAAGGAATTGATTTCCCTTCACATTAAAGAAGATTTGTGCAGGTAAGAGAAAATAACTGTTGTCTCTCATATTAATTATTTTATATCATTTAAAATTTTTGACAATTTATATATAATCTGTGCAACGTTTTGAAATATGTATGCATTGTGAAATAGCTAAATCGAGCCCAGTTAACATTTTCATTACCTCACATACTTATCAATTATTATTTTTTCTCTAGAATATTTTTTCTAAAGGCATAATGATGACATAAAAATCTAGACCTGAACTGTCTACTATGGTGGCCACTAGTCCTGTGTAACTATTGATTCCTTGAGATATGACTAATCCAAAATGAAATGTTCTATCACGTAAGATACACACCAGGTCTTTAATTCTTAGCACACGCTTGCAGATGATTTAATAACAAAATGTTAACTTGGATATATTGGGATTTTATAAAATATATTACTAAAGTTAACCTCATCTGCTTTTTTATTTAAACTTTTAAAATATGGCTACTAGAAAATTTAACATTACATATATTACTTTCATTTGTGGTTTGAGCTATATTTCTTGGATACCTTGGTATCTAGCCAATAATTTGAGCTTTGATCTTTTAATAATTCTTGTGTCTTTTCCTCAACTGCTTATGGTTGCTGTTTCTGGAAATAATTCCTATTTGACTCACCTTTGGACTTCTCATTTGTAGTAAGGCTTTCAGAAATTTATTAGTCTAAAAATGACTGGAGATGACTGAATAAAACATTCTATGCTAATAGACAGTATTGTACAACAAAATTAAATCAGTTGCTATAATAAGGTAGAGGGATTTGAGAGCTTATTTCTTGTTAAGAGTATCTCTGGACCATGACTAATCAATTTGTTTCTCTGCCTTTTAAACAAACCTGTAATAACATTAAAAATGCTGAATGCTACATTATATAAAATCCTGTTAAGGTTCTAAATCTCATTAAATTAGCAACTTTTAAAAAGTTAACACTTTATAATTGCTGAAATCTACAGCAGAGTGTGAAATTTCTAGCATTTGGGTTCCTGCCTTATGCTCACATTAGTGCACATATTTATTTAATAGTACTGTACTGTTTTGGTAGACTCTGAAGTCCCCAGGGATTCCATATTAACCTAAGCCAGTGAGGACACCATAGACAGGGCAGGTCAAATTGGCAACTGTTAGCAAAATTGGTTAGGGTAGGCATGACTGCACGAATACGAAAACAGAACCCCAATTTCAGGGAAATTAGACAGGAAACTGGATTATTAAAATGTGATCTGCATCTAGGGAAATAAACACTGAAAATGAGACAGAAAGGTGAATATTTGAGAGTAGCAGAGTGAGGATCATAAAGCCAGAGAAATCAGACAACACGTATTGACTCAGGCAAAGAGAAGCTATGGCATGCTCAGGAATCTAAGCGCACTACGTAAGAGCCAACTGCAAGAAGCAGCAGCCAAGTTATTCTGAAATGGGTTTTCAACATTATCCCTACCTGATAGACATAGTGACAGTAGGCAATAGACAAAACACGTTACCTGGAAGGATAAAGCAAGCTTATATATTACAGTAGAAGCACAAGGAGTTTGGATTTTGGAAGTCATTATCCTCAACATGATTGCGTTCTAGACCACTGGACACCAAGAATCACTTCTACTAGAGCCATGTAATGATCACCTTTTTATCCTGAAGGGTTGAAGACAGTAGCTAGTCCTCACAGGAGTTATGCAGAATAAGGAAAGACTCTCAGTAGACAAGCATGAGATTACAGGCAGGACCTGAGAAACACAGAAGAAGAGTCGCCACATGAAGCAGACTTAAGAATTTAGAACTAGGGCTTACCCTTTAAATGGCTCCAGATAGCTACATTTAATGTAGCCAAAACTAAATTTCTAATTACAGTTAACAATGATTTATTCTGTAATTCCAAATACTTAGAAGAATTGTAATGTTCACCACACAAAGAAAAGATAAATTTTTGAGGTGATGAATATCCTAGTTACTCTGACCTACACATCATATACAAGTATCAAAATATCACATGTACCCCCAAAATATATACAACTATGATATAGCAATAAAACATAAGATAAATGAAATAAAATGTCTTTGAAGACATAGACAATATAAAATCATGACATGTCGGCCGGGCATGGTGGCTCACGCCTGTAATCCCAGCACTTTGGGAGGCCGAGGCAGGCAGATCACTAGGTTAAGAGATCGAGACCATCCTGGCTAACGTGGTGAAACCTCGTCTCTACTAAACATACAGAAACAAAATTACCAGGCGTGGCGGCGGGCACCTGTAGTCCCAGCTACTCGGGAGGCTGAGGTGGGAGAATGACGTGAACCCAGGAGGCGGAGCTTGCAGTGAGCTGAGATCACACCACTGCACTCCAGCCTGGGCGACAGGGTGAGACTCCGTCTCAAATAAATTAAAAAATAAATAAATAAATAAATAAATAAGACATGTCATAAAACACTGAAATTCATTAACTTATATTCATTAACGTAGCATTTATTATTATACTATATATAGTATTTAACATAATAACCAATTTTAGCCTAATATTTTTGAGTTGAAAATCTTAGTTGATGGATCATTAACACCACTTCATTAAAAAAATTCAACAAGCTAGGAAAAGAAAGAGTAATCCTATTTGAATTTGAAAATTGTCTTGTGACCCTGTCTTTTGTCTTCAGTTTAGAAACCTCTTAAAGGATGAGCAGCTGTCTTTCTAATGCTTGTCTGCTACTTTTGAGTCCTCCACAGTGCTATCTTCAAAATCCACTTCTATTCTCACTAATATCCTTCTGTCTGCATTCATTGATAGCAAATCAAGGGAGAAAGAATGAGTAGGGAATTAGGAGAAAGAAACTAATAAGCTATTGAATTTTGGTAGTCATAGCCACTGTCATTACTGTTGTTATTTTAACACATCAAAGTATTATCCACCTACCCTATTCTCTTTATGACTTTCTCTGTATCTCTTTTGTTATTTCCATATGCTTCACAGCAAAACATTTGCTAACACACAGAAGGGGCTGGTGGGCAGTTTTGGGAAAGATGAATAAACACCACCTCCCAATATGAAGCTCCATTGCCAGAGACAAAATTAGAAACTGGAATTGTTCAGAGAAGAAAATTACATTTTAATTCTACAAAAACAAAAGATATAGAAACCTGATAGATTCCAAAATCTCACCAGGGTCTGTGATGGCCAGGCTGTATACTTTTGACTTTCTCCAATACCTTTTCAGTATAAATCTCCTATCATTAGAATTTATTTAGAAATCCAACAATGAATGTTTTAAATTTTATATTGAAAAGGAGATTTTCAAAATTCATCCTGGAGACTCAAAGGGGAAATAGGAAAAGCTTGTAGGAAAATTGGCCAGCTGTCTCAGTGGAGTGTAAGAAGATACAGTTATTGTAAAACAGAATAAGAAATCTATACAAAGAGAACCATCTAAAGATAAAAGGTCATGAAGAAAAGTGTAATGCACTAAATAATGAAATTTTAAAATGCAGTGTCCACATTAAATCCACAGAGCCAGCAGAAAAGATTTAACACTAAGAAATCATGTCTATAATATGGAAGACAAACACAATAAGCTCTTCCTAAATGCTAAAGAAAGTTGAAAAAAAGGTTCAAATGGATGAGAGAGAAGATGTTAGATGTGCAAGACAAAGAGCTGGACATTACTAAATAATTTTAAGTGTTCTTGGAGAAGAACAGTTAGTGCAAAAAACTTGACAAAAAGCATTAAAAAAATTACTGAGTCTACAGTTTTGTTTTTAATTTTACATGCTAAAATCAGGCTAGCATTATACTTCCCTGTAGAACCCGATGGAACAGTATCTACTGATTTCTGAGAGAAAAAGGCTGTGGTTTTACATTATTATATAGGGTTAGGTTATAAATTTTTTATGGATGAAGCGAGATGTACTGACATATACAAGAACTCAGAAATCATTATACACAAAACATTCTTGAAAATCCTACTTGAAGATATATCCTGTCCAACTGAGAAAATAGTTTAAGAATTATATTTGTAATATAGTACAAAAATTAAATTATATGATGATATAAAATTAATGTACCATAATGTAAAAATTAGGCATGTTAAGAATGGGAAATTGTCCTATAAAAGAATTCGAGGCATTCTTCTTGGTGTAATCTCCAGGGGAAGCTTTACTCTGAGGTTTTTTCTCAGCTGCTCTTCCACTACCTTTACTCAGATCCCAGAAAGTGTTTTATTTGTACCAGCTTCCCTCCCAGTCCCACAATTCAGATAGACTCTTGCCTTGTTTAATGAAAATGACAGGTGCCTTAGTACCATTACATTTCAATAGTTGCAGAGAGTGCAGACCATTCATTTACATGCTTGGAAATCCAAACTGGAAGAACCACTAAGCAAAAATTTTGCTTGTTTTTTTTTATCCATAAAGACAAAAGTATTGCCTGAGAAACCTTGTATTATAGTCATTTGCATTGCTAAGGAAACTAAATAACTATTATCTGAAATTTTAACGTAAATATTAACTAAGTTGTAACATTTTTTGATGAAGAGTAGTAAACCAATAAGTAGCAGATACAAACTGTGTCTAAGTCCCTTTGATATATTGTTCTGTATAGGACCTGTGGGAGTACACACACACACACACACACACGCACACACACACACACACAGGCATACCTGAGAAATATTGTGCATTCAGTTCCAGACCACATTCATCAGTGATAGCCACCGCCATCAATGATCTTAGCTAGATCTTCTGGATAAGTTGCTGCAGATCCTCCATCAGCGCTTGCTGCTTCACCTTGTACTTTTATGTTATGAAGAGAGCTTCTTTCCTTAAACTTCGTGAACCAATGTCTGTCAGCTTCAAATTCTCTTCGTTGGCTTACTCACCTCTCTCAGCCTTTATAGAATTGAAGTAACTCTCTTTGGACTTTGCTCTGGATTAGAATTTGGCTTAAGGGAATGTTGTGGCTGGTTTGATCTATCCAGAAAACTGTAACTTTCTCCACATCAGCAATA